TAAACCTTCTGCATTTTATAATTGCGTTTTATAATTTGTAAATTTTTATCACAAAGTATGCATATATGCAGTTATAAAAGATGGGTTGGTAGGAGAGGGAATATTCAAACAATATGCCATACTCTTTAGCAAGAAAAGTAAACTGAAAACTGTAAATACTTTTAATGTCCAGTATTACGATATTCCATAGGATTTGTAAAGTATTTATGTTACGAGTCTAGGGGATCTTCAGTATGAAATATACACATGGGAAATCTTAATACGAAATTATATATACTGATATAATTCAATCTCTCGTGCAGATCAATTTTAGTATTAAGGAGATCGAAAAACTTCATAAAATATCTCTTAAAATAACGTATATTACTTTATGGTCTTAAGGTATTTCAATGGTACCTTTTACTTATCAATTAGATACAAACACTTTAACAGACTTATGATCATATATAGTTACAATGGCTTCCATTCTGGCTGAGTGGCTCTTTCAACCTAGATTTGATAAAGATACAATCTCAATTTCCAGTGACGATCAAAGTTTTAAACACTTATAATTTGACCAGTGTAATTGAAATTTCTTCAGAACAAGAGAGCTTCTACTAAGTGAAAGTGTCACAAGTACTCGCACTTTCTGGAGACTAAGGAATAATACCATGTTCCAGGTAGGTTCTTAAAGTAAATGAGCAGGAAAAGAAGACCTTCTCGAGGCTGAGAGAGTTGTACTGACAACGCTACTCCACTCACCTCTGACGTAAGCTGGCGCCAGGCGAGCAGTAACACTCACCTCTGACGTAAGCTGGCGCCAGGCGAGCAGTAACACTCACCTCTGACGTAAGCTGGCGTCAGGCGAGCAGTAACACTCACCTCTGACGTAAGCTGGCGCCAGGCGAGCAGTAACACTCACCACTGAACGTAAGCTGGCGTCAGGCGAGCAGTAACACTCACCTCTGACGTAAGCTGGCGCCAGGCGAGCAGTAACACTCACCACTGACGTAAGCTGGCGTCAGGCGAGCAGTAACACTCACCTCTGACGTAAGCTGGCGCCAGGCGAGCAGTAACACTCACCACTGACGTAAGCTGGCGTCAGGCGAGCAGTAACACTCACCACTGACGTAAGCTGGCGTCAGGCGAGCAGTAACACTCACCACTGACGTAAGCTGGCGCCAGGCGAGCAGTAACACTCACCACTGACGTAAGCTGGCGCCAGGCGAGCAGTAACACACTCACCACTGACGTAAGCTGGCGCCAGGCGAGCAGTAACACTCACCACTGACGTAAGCTGGCGCCAGGCGAGCAGTAACACTCACCACTGACGTAAGCTGGCGCCAGGCGAGCAGTAACACTCACCACTGACGTAAGCTGGCGCCAGGCGAGCAGTAACACTCACCACTGACGTAAGCTGGCGTCAGGCGAGCAGTAACACTCACCACTGACGTAAGCTGGCGTCAGGCGAGCAGTAACACTCACCACTGACGTAAGCTGGCGTCAGGCGAGCAGTAACACTCACCACTGACGTAAGCTGGCGCCAGGCGAGCAGTAACCAGAGGTGAGGTCATACCAACATTAAATGGTTGTTACCACGAAATACATATATATACGTAAGGTGAAAAATGAGAAAGATGAAAATGAATATGTAATATTATAAAGCTGATTAACGTTGTTTTAGCTAATAACGATGATAATCGCAATGTAATATTAGATAAATGAACAAAAATGAAAGACATATATAGAAAACCGCATCTCGGCGCAACATCCAGTGTAAAGGGGATCCCATCACTTCTGTATCTTCAGGGAAATATCTGGGAATCCATTGACCCAAGCATGTCAGGAGGATTGATAGGAAACCGTGTAGAAAAAAAGCAGTACCAGGATAAAGTCCGTGTACAGACAAGCACAGTGTCTTCCTACTGAGGCTCGCGGGACACTGTGTCCACCTCTTATACAATGTCATGTAGATTATTTTTGCTCTTCATGGTACCCTGTCTTAACAAAAATAAAAAGATAAATTACAAATCACCCAAAACAGAATGGTGAGATTCATGCTAGTCCTGGGATCAAGAGTGCGTGTGAGCCAGGATGAACCTGGATATGTTGAAGCAAGAGTAAAGAAACTGAAGTTAAATTATGTTTATAAAATTGCTCACAAGCAGTGTCCAGGATATCTTGCTGCCAAGTTTGTCAACTTTAAGATAAGATTTCGTTCGGATTTTTAACCCCGGAGGGTTAGCCACCCAGGATAACCCAAGAAAGTCAGTGCGTCATCGAGGACTGTCTAACTTATTTCCATTGGGGTCCTTAATCTTGTCCCCCAGGATGCGACCCACACCAGTCGACTAACACCCAGGTACCTATTTGCTGCTAGGTGAACAGGACAATAGGTGTAAGGAAACGTGTCGAATGTTTCCACCCGCCGGGAATCGAACCCGGGCCCTCCGTGTGTGAAGCGGGAGCTTTAGCCACCAGGCCACCGGGCCAGTATAGTACTAGGGAAAGAGATCACAGTTTTGTAGTGCCTACAGTAGATGGTCAGCCCTCAAAAACGTTTTACTGTACAGCAGTGCAGGAGTGGAACTGACTGCCTGAACATGACAAAGCCAGTCCTAGCATGAGCTGCTTCAGGAAGAGACCTAAAAAGGTATCTAATGAATGAAGCTACAGAAAGGGAGAAGAGCAATTTCTTATATAGTTAACGTTAATGTACCTGTTATTGTAAGCTCATACTCTGTATGTAATGTTCATGAAAATAACTCAGTTCACTTTATTCCCATTGTTCCTCTTTTTTTCTGTAACTGATTTTCAAAGAGTTGCGTTACTTAGCTCTTTTAATTTTTAAGGTTATAATCTACTTCATCTTACAGTTAAGCTTTAAATATTAAGATATTACCGAGACCCCAAAGGAAATAAGTCACTTTGTCTGGCTTTTCTTGGTTCCTCCTAGCTAATTTAAACGTTACTATGTATGATAATTGTACTTATGTGGACCTGTACTTAAATGAATTGACCTTCTTACTGTAGATACAGGAGGTACCTTGATCTACTACTGTTGTAACCTTGATCTACTACTGCTGTACCCTTGATCTACTACTGCTGTAACCTTGATCAACTACTGCTGTACCCTTGATCTACTACTGCTGTAACGTTGATCTACTGCTGTACCCTTGATCTACTACTGCTGTACCCTTGGTCTACTACTGTTGTACCCTTGATCTACTACTGCTGTACCCTTGATCTACTACTGTTGTACCCTTGATCTACTACTGTTGTACCCTTGATCTACTACTGCTGTACCCTTGATCTACTACTGCTGTACCCTTGATCTACTACTGTTGTACCCTTGATCTACTACTGCTGTGCCCTTGATCTACTACTGCTGTACCCTTGATCTACTACTGATGTACCCTTATCTACTACTGCTGTACCCTTGATCTACTGCTGTAACCTTGATCTACTACTGCTATAACCTTGATCTACTACTGCTGTACCCTTGATCTACTACTGCTGTACCCTTGATCTACTACTGCTGTACCCTTGATCTACTACTGCTGTAACCTTGATCTACTACTTCTATAACCTTGATCTACTACTGCTATAACCTTGATCTGAGGAACTGGAACTAACTTTCCTTCCCTTGGATTTAATGTATTTACCTTCCATTTGTTAGATGTTGTATAACCCTCAATAAATTTAGTATTTCCCTTTGAATATAATACAGTCACAACCAGGCGATCTTAACATTGCAGAACAAGTCTCTTAGGGATGGAAATCTTTAGCTATAAATCTTTCGCACTCTCGTGCTTCGTCAGGAGCTATGCAGTGTTGCAAGACAACAACAGATAAGAGGGGAAATTCTCTGAGGCAAGGCAGACGTTATCAATGGCGGCCCCATGGGGCCGCAATATTGAACATAAGAAAGAACACTGCAACAGGCCTACTGGCCTATGCGAGGCAGGTCCGGTTCTCCCACCGGCTTAAGCCAGTGCCTTGACCTAGTGAGGTCAGACACGTCACTTAAGGGAGGAGCAGTGCATCCGACCTAGTAGTACAAGCTAGTCATGTCCAACTCACACCCACCCACACCCACTCATGTATTTAGCCAATCTATTTTTAAAACTACACAACTTCTTAGCGTCTATGACGGTACTCGGGAGTTTGTTCCACTCATCCACAACTCTATTACCAAACCAGTTCTTTCCTATATCCTTCCTGAATCTGAATTTTTCCAATTTAAAGCCATTGCTGCGAGTCCTGTCTATGTTAGATATTTTTAGCACTTTATTTACATCCGATTTATTAATTTCTGTTTTCCATTTATACGCCTCAATCATATCCCCCCTAATTCTACGCCTTTCTAGAGAGTGCAGATTCAGGGCCCTCAGTCTATTCTCATAGGGAAGATTTCTGATACATGGGATCAGCTCTGTTATCCTCCTTTGTACGTTTTCCAGTGCATTTATATACATTCTGTAATACGGTGACCAAAACTGTGTAGCATAATCTAAATGAGGCCTAACCAAAGATATATAGAGTTGAAGAACAACCTGAGGACTTCTATTATTTATACTTCTTGCTATGGAGCCAAGGATTCTGTTAGCTTTATTGCGAACACTTATGCACTGTTGTCTTGGTTTTAGATTACTGCTAACCAGGACTTCTAAATCCTTTTCACAATCCGTAATATTAAGATCTACATTATTTAGTTTATATGTTACATGGTTATTTAACTGTCCAACATTTAGAAGTTTGCATTTGTGTATATTAAACTGCATCTGCCACTTCTCCGACCACTGCATCAGTCTATTCAAATCATCCTGGAGTGCTCTAATGTCCTCATTAGAATGAATTAGATGTCCTATTTTGTTGTTGTCAGGAGCATAGCTCCTGACGACGCACGAGAGTGCGAAAGGTCTAGAGCTAAAGATTTCCATACCCATATGGCTCGTTCTGCCTTCCCTGTGAATATAATGCATAACAAGTAACGTGCGCGTGTTTGTGTCTTCCCACAGGTAGTGAGAGCACTGTGATGACCTCCCACGGCCACTTCTGGCTCGTCATGTGGGGGTGGGATGGTGGGGGAGGACGCCCCCGACCACACACCAGCTACACTCACATATGTGGTCGTCGTAGTGTGGCCACTCACACACACAGATGTGGTCGTAGTGTGACCACTCGCATCATTACCCTGTTGATGATAGCAGCGTTGTGGTGCATCAGTCCTGGGTCAGCCCAGGATGACACCACTGTAATGGCGTCCAGCCTGCCCACCACCACCTACCCCAACACCACTCTTGCAGGTTTTCCCGATGGGCCCACAACAGTCAGCACACCTGAACCTAAGTGCCACCTTTCCAATACTTGGCCTCCGGTGGACGTGAGTAATATTCTTCTTTATTTTTTTTTATACAGGATTTGACAAGTTTAGGTTAAGGTTCCCTATCTTTATTGACAAGCTATTAACAAGTTAAGGATTCCTAACTTTATTGACAAGCTAAGAGCTGTTATCTACATCAGCTCATTTGAAAGCATTTTTATTGTTATGAAAAATACAAGTAGAGAACAGGATGAAGTTGGAGCCATTTGTGGGCCAGTATTTTCATTTGATCAACTGACTTTATCTCGTTGTCATCATTATGCTGTACGAATGTGTTCCATACTTGAGTCATCCTGGGGATAAATGATCTCAGATGAAGTGATGTTCTGGAGAAGGGTACAGCCAGAGTGAAGTTGCTGCTTTCTGCCTGTCTTGTGGTATAGAAGCTTGCTTCTCGCTATCCTCGAAGTGGATCCAAGTGTTGTACTTTGACAGTGTTGGCTTTGTACATAACAGTAAGGCTGCCCTCATCACTCCTATGTTCAAGGCTCTGCTGAAATGACAGATCTATTCAGGATAGGTCCAGGCGAGAGATGAGATGTCTTGCTCTGTGTTCTACTCTGTCGAGCAGTCGCAGATGAGAGGGGGGGGGGCAGGCAAACCAAGAAAGTGGAGCATACTCAAGGTGTGAGCGTACTTGTGCCTCATACAGAATTTTGCAACCCTTACTGTCAAGCAGATGCGAGATACGTCGAAGTGCTGTAAGCTTCCTGGCTGCCTTGTTTGCAAGATTTACAACGTGGTTCTTCATGGTCAGTTTGGAGTCAAATTTCACTCCAAGGATATCAACTTCTTTCCCAGGTACCAACACTCCCATTGATACTTACTACTGCTTTAGCATTACCATCATGGTGCCTAGAGACCATGATCATTTGTGTTTTCTCAGGTGCAAATGTTACCTGCCATCAGTTTCCTCAAGCTGATACAGCTCTGAGCTAGTGTTTGATGTAGCTTAGAGCAGCTGGCATTTCTTCTCTTGGTTAAGTAAATGCCAGAGTGTAGTCGTCTGCATATGCATGAGATTCTGGGATGAGATGAAGAAGGTCATTGAAGTAGACATTCCATAACAATGGTCCAAGCAAACTTCCTTGTCAAACACTTGCGTCAGTAGGATGTCTTGCTGATTCTATTCCATTGAGAACTTCCCTTAGAGATCTACCATGAAGGTAATCACTGAGAAGACGTAGCATAGAGCCTGTAATTCCCAGTGCTTCCAGTTTTACCAAGAGGCCCTGGTGCCACACTCCGTCGAAAGCACCAGTAATGTCCAATGCTACCACACAGCTGACTTTGGATTCATCTCTCTCTCTCTCTCTCTCTCTCAAGATCCTACTCTTAGAGAAGTAAACTTTCCTTGCATCGATAACCCCGTGAGAAATTCTTACAATTGTAGAGAGAGAGAGAGAAGCGAGAGAGAATAAATTACTACTGATAATTTATTAACTTAGTGATAACTTGTCAATAACTTGATTAAAATTGACTTACAAATTGTTGATAACCTAACAACTTGGTGATAACTTGCCGATAATTAATTTATTGATCACTCGTTGATGCCTTACTAATAACTTATTGATAACTCATCCATAACTACTGATAGCCTTTTAATAACTTAGAAACTTACTGGCATGAAGTAACTTTGACTAACTTTGTTAACTTATCTGACCTAGTGTGACCACCGTTATTATTATAATATTAGTTATTATTTTTATAATTATATTATTTTTATTATTATTATTATTATATTTTTTTTATTTTATTTATGGGGAAGGGTTTTTTACCCGTAGGGGTCAAACGACTTACCGTCTTTTTTGGAAGGCTTAACAGGGTTAAGTCCCCCATTCCTTGGATCTTCATTACTTCTCATTTTCTGGTCGTTGTATGACCCCTTTTGGATTAGGGCTTCCTCAGAATGATGATAGTACTGTACGTAATAAAAATATAATAATAATAATAATAATAATAATAAAAAAATAATAAAAAAGAAAACGAAAATAATAACATACTATTACTACTACAATACACTACTACCATACTACTACATTAAATACAAATATTACTACACACTATTACTACTACACATTACTACACTACTATTACTACTACTACACATTACTACTTTCACTATTACTACTACTACTACATTACTCTACTACACTATTACACACTATTACTACCCACTCTATTTCTACACTATACTACTACCCCTACTACAAATTCTACTACTACATTACTACATTACTACACCACTAAAAATTACTACTACACGTTACACTACTATACATTACTACTACTACTCAAATATACCACTACTACTACATTTTATACACATTACTACACCACTACTACTACATTCTACTACTTTACTACTATACCCCCTACTACTACTTTAACTACACAATTTCTACTACCACACTACTACATTACTACTACTTTCTACTACACTGCATTACTACACTACTACACCACACTTTATACATTCACTACTACTTTTCTACTCTACTATACTACACACATTACTACTACTACTTTTACTAACTACTACTACTACTACTTACTACTACTATTACTACTACTATTTCTACACTACTTTTCTACTACTACTACTATTACTACACTACTACTATTACTACACTACTACTATTACTCCTACTACTATTACTACTATCTACTACACTACACATTAACTACTACTACTATACACTATATTACTATTACTACACTACTTTATAACTATTTCATAACTATTCTACACAACTACTCTATTACTACTACTATTACACTACATTACACTCTACTACTACTACTACATTACTACACTACTACCCCTATTATACACTACTTTTTAAAAAAACTTTACTATACTCTATTATACTACTACATTACTACTAACTATTAAATACTACTATTACACTACTATACTATTTTAAATACTACTATTATACAACACTTTTTCCCCATATACTATTCACTATTTACTACTACTACTACTATTACAAAATATACTACTCCCCATACTATTACTCATACAACTACTATACTAACACTACTACTATTACTACACTACTATTAACTACTACTAATATATATACTACACTATTTTAAAATACTACTATTTCACTATACTACAAACTACTAAACCCACAAATAATAATACTAACTACTACTAAACACTACACTACATTACTACTACTATAACCATTACTAATACTATTATTACTACTTTTCTATTTTTCAAATATTACTACTATATTTCTACTACTACAAATTTCTATACTACATTATTACTATTTCACTTACTACTCAAACTATTCTTACTATTACACTACTACTATTACAACTTTTCAACTAATTACTACTAAAATAATATACTACTACACCACTACTACACTATTACTACTAACTTTTTAAATACTTACTACTATAAAACCCCTACTACACTATTACTACTACACTATTAATCACTACTAACTACTACTACTTTTTTACACTACTTTTCTACTATACATTTCACTACTTACCACTACTACTACTATTTCTACCAAAATATACTACTATTATACTACTACTATTACTACTCTACTTTTCTACTACCACACTTTTCACTATTACTACTTTTCCTACTATACAACTACTTAATACTTTTCTATACTACAACACTACTAACTATTACAACTACTAAATATTTACTACTACTTTTCTATTTTACTACTACTACTATTACTACTACTACATTTTATACTTTTCTACAAAAAATCCTTTACAACATTAATACTACTTTAAATACTACTACTACTACTACACTAATTTCTATTACACACTACTATTACAAACCCACTATTTCTAAACCTACTATAATTTTCTACTCACTTTATATTTTTACTAAATTTACACACTTTTTTATACTTTTCTACTACTATTACTCTACTACTATTTACTAACAAAATATTACTACTATTTCTATTACTACAACCTAAAACTACACTATTTCTATTACTACTAACTATTAAACTACTACTAAAATATTCTACTTTTAATAACCCATTTACTACTACTACTTTTTCTATACTATTACACTACACATTAAATACTACTATTACTACTACTAATTTCTACACAACTATTACTTCTACTATACTCTACTATAACTCTATACAACATTACTACTACATTTTCCCACTACTACTATAATACTACACTACTATTACTACTTTTAAATTACACTACTTTACTAACACACTATTTCAATTTTAAAATACTACAACTAAATATTTTATTACTACACACTACATTACAATCTATTACTACACTCCTTTTCTACTATTTTACTACTATTTCTACTACCTATAATTCTACTACATATTTCTACAATTACTTTTCTTTTACAAATTTAATTTCTACTACTACTACTATTACTATACTATTTACACTAAAATACTATTACTATTTCTACTACTATTACACTACTACTATTACAACTTTACAAATATTTTACTACACTACCCCTTACTCTACTCTTTTCTACACTATTTCTATTTCACTACACTACTAAATACTACCACTACAAATAAACCTCTACTGTTCCCATTACACTACTACTACTATTACTACTTAAAACTATTACTTTTCAACTACTATTACTATTCTATTAATACTAATATTTCACCACTCTATTACTATTAACTACAACAAAATAATTACTACTATAACTATTTTTACAATATTTTTAATACACTACTATTTCACACTACATTCTTTTCTACACTACACTACTATTCTATTACTATTTCACTACCTATTTCTACTACTCTATACATTCTTCACTACTTACACTACTACTATACATTACTACAAATACTTACTTTTCGCTAATTTACTTACTATAATACTACTATACTACTACACTACTACTATTTCACTACCTAAAACTACTACTTTTTACTATACTACACTACATCTACTACTACTACTATTACTACTACAAATACACTATTAAATACTAAAAAATTTTACACTACTACTACTATTTTACACTAATTTCACAAATTTTTCTACATTACTACACATACTACACTATTACTACTATTTCTTTTTTACTATACTACAACATTATAATACTACTAAATATTACACTTTACTACTAATACTATTTCTACTACTCTATACTTTACTAAAAACTACTATTAAATACTACTACATTATTTTTCTTTCTTTCTCTACTATTACTACTTAAAATTTTCTAATACAAACTACTACTCTACTATTAAACTACTACTACATTACTCTATCACTATTTCATTACAACTACTATTATTTACTACATTACAACTACTCTAACTTTTCTACTACTAAACTAAACTTTCTATTACGACTACTACTACTACTAAATTTCTACTACTATTTTCTATACTATACTACACTCTATTACTACTACACATATACTACACTTTAAACCCCACTACTATTACTACCACTACTTTTCACTAAATACAAATTTTCACTTTCTTTTCACTTAATATTAATACTACTATACTATTACTACTAAAATTTTCTATTACTATACCCACAAACACTACTACTTTTAATATTGCTATTCAAATACTACACTATTTCAAATCTATACTATTATAAAATACTACTACAAATTTCTCTAATACTACTATTTCTTTTACATTCTATTAAATAACTACTAAACTACTACTAAATTTCTATACTACTAAAACCCCTATTACTACAACTATCTATTTATACTATTACTACAACTACTATTACACTTAAATACACTATTTTCTATTACTACACTACTTTTCTACAACTATTCTACACATTACCTACCCTTTACCTAAATTTAAAATACTAAATTTAAACCCACTACTCTATTACTAACTACATATTACACTACTACTCTACTAATACACTACACTATTATACTACTATTACTACTACTATTTACTACTATACATTTACTTTCTACACTATTACTACTACACATACTATTCTATACTATTTCTACCAAATACTAACACCTTTCTACTTCTATTACACTATACCCATACTACTATATTAATTAATAATACTACTTTTTATTACTACTATACTATACATTACTATTATATTTCTACTATTACTACTACTAAAATATTACTACTACTTAACAAATATTACTAACTTTTCTACTATTACTACACTACTACTATTTTTACTACAACTACTACTACTTTTTTACTCAAAACACTATTTTCTATACTACACTATTACTACTACACTAAATTTCTATACTCCTACTATAAAAACTAAAATTTCTACTACTAACAAAAACTACTAACTACTATACACTACTACTAATTACTCATAATACTACTACATTTCACTACCAACTACAAAAACTACTAATACAATTACACACACTCATTACTACACCACTATTTCTACTACACTATACTAAATACTACTACTACTATTACTACTCAATTACCATATATACATTTACTACTACACTACTATTACTACTACTTTTCTATATTTACTACTACTACTACTACCCCATTTCAAAATACATTTTTTTACACTACTTTACTTTCTACTTTTTTTAACTAATACCCACTATTTCTAAAAATTTTCTTTTTAAATACACTATTACTACTAAAATTCTACACTCTATTTCTCTACTATTACACTATTTTCTATTCTACACTACTTTTACTACTCTATTACTACTACTACTTCTTTTTTTACTATACTATACTATTTACTACACTTTTACTATTACTACTACCATTAACTAAACTAACTATTACTACTACTAATATTTCTACTACTACATTAACTACATTTCTACTATAATACTAAATACTAAACTACTATACTACTACTTTTCTACTACTATTTATTACTACCCACTATTACTAAATACTCTTTTATTTTAAATTAAACCTTTTCTACTACCCTTTTACTACTAAAATAAATACTAAAAATTTTAAATTTAAAAAACCCAAATATTTTACTATACAACTAAATATTCCACTACTACTATTACTACTAACACTAATTTTTCTATTTTACTACTACATTATAAAATACCAACTATTACTACTACTATTTCTACACATTTATACTACCCCACTACTACTTACTACAACAATTTTACTAAAAATACTCTACACTACTATTACTAACTACTACTACTAACCCACTACTACTACTATTACTACTACACATTACTACACACTCCACTACATACAATCTTTCACTACTACACTTTACTACTATTTCTATTCTACTACTTTACAAAACTACTATTACTACTACACTACATTACTACTAAAATTACTACTACTTCTATTGCTACTACCCAATCTACTACTCAATTACACTACCTATTCACTACTACTATTACTACTACTACTATGTTTATCTACCTTACACTACATTACACTACTATTACATTACTCCCACTAAAATATTTCTACTACTACTTTCTACAACTTCAAAAATACATATACACTATAAACTATTAAATCTACTACTATATTACACATATTACTACTACTACTACTACTTTTATACTACTACTAAACTACTTTTTTAAAAAACTACTACATTTCACTATTACTAACCTTTCAACAAATATTACTACTATACTACTACTACAATTACACACTAATTTTTACTACTACTACATTAAATACTACTATTTTAACACTAACTACTATTTCACTACTACTACTACAACTATTTCTATACTACTACTCTAAAACTACATTTCTACTACACAAATTTACTACTATACACTATACTTCCTATACTACTACAATTACTACTATTACAACACTACTACTACACTATTTCTACACACACTATACTACTACACTACTATTTACTATACTATACTACTACTATACAAATACTACCATTAAAAAAATTTTAATCGAACATTACCCATTTACCCAATTTTTACTCCCCCCTACTATTACATCTAATCACCACTTTACTGTCCCACCAACTCTATCAACCCCAACCCTTCAACTACTTATACTTTCCTCCCCTAAACCCCCTATTGGAATCCCCCCATACTACATTAACACTTCCCAAAACCCTTTTTTTTCCTATTACTTTCCCCACTTATAATTTACTCTCCCCATTTTCTTCCTATATATTTTTTTTCAATTTTACCCTCCCCCCAACCCCCAATTATATTTTCATTACTCTCTCCCCCTTTAACTCAACAAACCTTCAACCTTCCCCCAATTTAATCCCTTTTTACTAAATTTTCGTAAATTCTTTTTACTCCCACTGCATTCCACCTTACCCTTTTTACACATATTACCCACAACACAACTTTAAAATACACTTCTCCCCATTTTAAGTTTCATTACACCTTCATTTTCCCACTAATTATTTTTTCTTTACTCCCCCATTACACTTCCATCTTCACATTAATTTCCCCTCTATTTTTTAAATTTTTAACCCCACACTTTTAATTTCTTCAAGTTTTCCTTATCTGAGCAGTTAAAATTTCTCCTCTTTGAACTTCATATTATTTTGAGTGAGATCAATCATACAAAGTCATAATGGGTTTAACTTACACTCTGTCAGTAAGTTACTAAGTTACCTGTAAGTTATCAATAAGTTATCAATACGTTATGAATAACGTGGCGTTAATAACAGTGTTGTAAGAGTGCCTTGTGAGCCATTAAACCCATGTGCTGAGGGACTGATTGCCTTATATACTGTGTATAGTTCTGAAAGGCTGAGGGACTGATTACCTCATCTTGTACTATCGTCGCATAACGTCTCTGCATCGAATTGGTAAAGATACCCAGGTGCTGCACATGTATCTAATTTCTTATCTTGTATATTATTTTTTATGATAACGCTGCGTTATGTTATGCAGAATAGCACCAAGAGTCTGCTGGTAGGCTTCCTGCCCACCAGGTTGGGGGATAAGGACGAGAGACTGGGTCTCAAGATCATTGGGGCTTTCTCTTCGTCAGTCGAGGATGTCAACAAGAGATCTGTCCTGCCAGAGAACTACATCATGAGGTTCGAGGTAAATATTATGACTGCCTTTTTGTGCATGCAGGGATCAAATCATGCTTCATTCTGACCCTTCCTTCGCGGAAATCGTGAAAAGCTAAGCTCTAAAGTACTGAACACCAGGGGACTCTTCCCATCATCTTTGCTTGGTACATTCAGTCTTACCACCAGCCTTGCCTCATACATTCTCTCTTACCATCATCCTTGCTTCATACACTACTTCTTACCATTGCTCTGTTTCTTTTACTTCTTGAGTTTTTGTCCTTGTAACCACTTGAGGACCTCTGTTGCTCCTTCCTGCTCCTCCAACTTGTAGACGAGCCTTCCTTTAACGGAAGTTCCTTGTTGCTGGTGGCGCGCTCTTCATCCAAAGAACTGTAACTATCCTTCGTTTCGAATCCAGTTACCTTTTATTTTTCCCTGACACTAAATGACTCCAGTATGTTTCGAGCTTCCTCCGTGAATGTTATAATAATGAAGATCAGCCTCTTGTGTTTACGGTGTCGAATGTTTTCTTGCAATCTACGAAAATTCAGTCGACCCTCTCCTGTCTTTCCTGTTTGTGGTTTGTTACTGGTAGAGAAAGGCGGGATTTACCATCCTTAAATCCATATTGGTTACTTCGTATGCATACGTTTCTTTCTGGGAGCTCTACTTCTTTCTTTCTCATTCTCTTTTCTGATGCCTTAGCCAATGTGCTCATCAACAATAATGACCTCTATTCCTTTGATTTTTGTCTATTTCCATTTTTTCCATATTTTCAGATCATTTTTGCAGTTTAACAGCTCTTTGGTTGTTAAACTCCTTTCCTTTGACTTCGAGAATCTTCACTGTGATAAAACACATTTTCTACTCCTTGCAATACCTATAATAATGTCTTAACAAGTCTCAGTCCTTCCTTTGTTTCTAATTCCTATTGAATCCCCTTCACTTCCTTCTCTTTTTATTTATTCCTTCCAATCTGTGCTGCTCATCACTTTCTCTTTTCCATACATCTTCAATGATTCTTTTTCCTTGAACCTTCTGTTCAGTTCCTCTCCTACTTTCGTTATTATTTGCCAGTCCACCCCTTCCCTTTTTTAAGTGTTATTAAGCAGTTCCTTGCAGCTGTTTTCTATTCTGTATGGACACACAGCGATATCGAATCTGTTGTTTTGGTTGTTGCTACTCTCATTATTAAATTGATATTATGCTTCCTTTTATTTCTTTGCATAGCTTTTTTAATTAACTTTCTTACAATACACCAATACATAAAGGTGGTGACCCTACAGATGTAAACAACTATAGGCCAATATCAAACTTACCATTGCTATCCAAAATATTCGAGAAACTCGTGCACAGGAGACTGTATTCATTTATAACGGCACAAAACATACTCAACCCTTGCCAATTTGGATTCAGGAAAAATAAAAGCACTAATGATGCAATTATAAAAATGCTAGACCTGCTTTACACAGCATTGGAACATAAGGAATATCCGCTAGGAATTTTTATTTACCTGAGAAAAGCGTTTGACACAGTTGACCACAGCATCCTACTCCACAAACTTGACCATTATGGTATAAGAGGCCATGCGCTTGCATATTTCAAATCCTATCTTTCTAATAGGTATCAGTATGTCACCATTAAAGACAGCCTCATCAATACGGCCACTTGATACTGGAGTTCCGCAGGGAAGTGTCCTTGGACCCCTGCTCTTCCTAATTTACATCAATGATCTTCCAAACATATCCCAACACCTGAAACCCATTCTCTTTGCTGACGACACGACTTATGTCATCTCCCACCCTAATCTTGCAACCCTCAACACCATTGTTAACGAGGAGCTGCTCAAAATATCGACTTGGATGACAGCCAATAAACTTACACTTAACACTAACAAAACCTACTATATTATGTTTGGTAGCAGAGCAGGAGTTGCTCAGCTTAACATTAAGATCGACAACACTCTAATTACCAGACATGATGAGGGCAAATTCCTTGGCCTATACCTCGACAACAACCTAAATTTCAGCACCCATATCCAACGCATAACAAAAAGAGTATCCAAAACGGTGGGGATCCTCTCCAAGATACGATACTACGTGCCGCAAACTGCCCTTCTCACACTATTCCATTCACTTACATATCCATACCTCACCTATGCTATCTGTGCTTGGGGTTCAACTGCAGCAACACACCTAAAGCCAATAATAACCCAACAAAAAGCCGCAGTAAGAATAATCACTAAATCCCATCCCTGGCAACACCCCCTCCCCCACTCTTCGTAGATCTAAACTTACTCCCTGTTAAGAACATCCACACTTACTACTGTGCAATCTATATCTACAGGACCTTAAATTCCAATATTAACCTTGACCTAAAATGCTTTCTTGATAGTTGTGACAGGATCCACAGGCATAACACCAGACACAAACATCTCTATGACATTCCCCGTGTCCGACTAAACCTTTACAAAAATTCAATGTATTTCAAAGGACCTAAAATCTCGAACACCCTACCTGAAAACTCTAGAACTGCACACACATTCATCACTTTCAAAACTACAGTTAGAAAACATCTTATCTCCCTGATACACCCCGACAACTAACTACATGATAACTACCTGGTTGTTCACAATTACTCTCACTCACCCACTGACTATAAACACAGAAATACTAATCTTAATCTTAAAATAATGAATCCTAACTAGTCATAAGTTTGCCTATGATACTCCAATATAGACACTTTGTATTGTGCCAAAACAAAAGCATTCACATTGCTAAACTCACAAATTATAATGTAGTCACCTAGCCTTAATACCATAATCTGTAAGGATTTAATGTTAAGAATTAATCTAAGTCTGCCCGAAATGCCTAGCCATGCTAGGTGTCCTAGTGGCCCCCTCTGTAATTAGTATTTTATAACATGTAAACCACACAATATCCAAATCCTGTAAACCCCACATTGTAACCCTTATAGAGAATAAACTTGATTTGATTTGATTTGATTTGATTTAGTTCAGTGTTCTCCACTTTACGTTCTCGTGTGCTATAGTTCATGCTATACTAATTGCATTCTCTATTCTTGGTATGTATCTATCCATGGACTCCTGTAAATCAGGTCCTCCATCAGGCCCTGCATCATGTCCTCCATCGGGTCTTCCATGAAGTCCTCCATCAGGTCCTTCATCGGTCTTCCATCAGGCTCTCCATAAGGTCCTCCATCAGGCCCTCTATCATCTTCAACTATGTTTCCTCCACTCCGGTCTGAACTTCACATATTAATTAAAAGCTCAGAACCATGTGGTTCTGATACTTGATACCTTCTCTGTCTGATTTACTTATGATAAAGGCCAGAACCCGTCTTTCTTCTTCATCTGAAATTTCCTGTCTTTTTGCCATTTTGTTTTCATGGTCTCTGATATCGTTCACGGTACTGGACCTATATTATTTTGTTTGAAATCTCCCACAATCTTCTTGCCTTTATTAGACCTTTGGATTACCTATACACTTTGTATCACTGCCTCGTTATTATCCTTGTACTTCTGTCTCGGTTTTCTTGTTTAGTAAAGAATTGCAAACAACTTTCCCGTTGCCAGTGTCCTTAATGATAGCTGAAGCTCCACTACACAGGTGCATTACCTCTTCAAAATTCTAAATGTTTCTTCCTTCAAGGAATGTGCCTTGACGCCTGTCTAGGGCTCTTAATCCAAAGAATTGAAATTACCTTTCTTTACCTCGGAGCAAATCTGCTTGCCTCCCATTTTCGAGGAATTGTGTGACCCCTATGGTTTTAGCACTCTCCATATGAAATAACAATAATCTACACGTTTCTGGTCACCCCTCACCTACTCTTCCCTCTACCTTTTATCATTATGTGATATCCTTCTAGGAATATTGCACTGGTTATCAATCCCGTGAGTTATGTCTTTACAGTGGCCATAATTTCTGATTGTTAGTCTGATATTATCTTTAAGTCACGGCTTTTCTTCGTAATGCCATTACATATGTGTACCCTTGTTGTCCGTCTCTCCTGTAACTTGTTCCACAGAGCCGGCTAGTACCTGCATGTCAGGGAGGGGAGGAAGAGGTGAATGTCTCAGTATTACCTTAAACAGTGTAGTAGTGTCAGAATTCCCTCAGTAGTGTAGTGTAAGTGTCAATACTCTCTCAGTAGTGTGGTGGTGTCAGTACTCCCTCATAAAATATGCTATATGTATCATTATTGCCCATCCTCATACAGTATGGTGTAACTACCAATGTTTCCTCATGCAATTTTATGTCAGTACTCCATAATACAGCATGACAGTACACCTGATTGATATGTTGTAGATTCAGGACACCGAGGGAAGGGAGGATCTGGGCAGCAAGCATGTGGTGGACCTGCTCTGCAAGCAAGTCCATGCAATCTTCGGTCCAGAGCACAACTGCTTCGTGGAGGGCACCATCGCCCAAGGAAAAAACCTTCCAATGATATCATACGTGAGTATCATCACATTTCTGTAAATCGTTCTACCACAGTATCTGCAGCTTCGAATTCTGCCAGGAGCACGGTTCGATTCCCCGTGTATTCTTTTCTTTACACACACACACACACACAAACACACACACACACACACACACACACACACAAACACACACACACACACACACACACACACACACACACACATATATATATATATATATATATATATATATATATATATATATATATATATATATATATATATATATATTATATATATATATATATATATATATATATATATTATATATATATATATATATATATATATATATTATATATATATATATATATATATATATATATATATATATTTCTATATATATCAATAATAGCACTGCGACTAGCCAAGGGTTCGAACCCATGCTGCTTTGGCCCGCATCATGATGAGCGAAGACACATGAGGCGGGCCAAAGCAGCATGGGTTCGAATCCTTGGTTAGTAGCAATGTTGTTATTGATCAATACCACTTGTTCGTGGTCACAATAATATAAAATACTGCTCGTTGAGGCTAGTACACCAAACGGGAAGGAGAATGAAATTAGCTCAGAGGCACCCACACCACCGCATGTCCTCAGACCAAGGGTAACACACCTAGCCTGGCTGGGAGCTTGGTTCTTGTAGGATTGCGTGGTCCTGTGGGTTAGAGCATCATGGGTCCTCGCTCACCATGAGGCGGGACAACGCAGCAAGGGTTCGAATGCTTGGCTAGTCGCAGTGTTGTTACTGATCAGTACCACTTGCTCGTGATCACAGTAATATATTAATATATATATATATATATAATATATATATATATTATATATATATATATATATATATATATATATATGAATGACAGCCAGGGTTCAGTTCTCCCCAGTCCATCTCTCTGTTAATTCATACAAGTTACAAGTGTGCTGGTGAAAGTTACAGGTGTGCTGGTGAAAGTTACAAGTGTGCTGGTGAAAAATTACAGTGTGCTGGTGGGAAAATTACAAGTGTGCTGGTGAAAGTTACAAGGTGTGGTGAAAATTACAAGTGGCTGGTGAAAGTTACAAATGTGCTGGTTTAAAGTTCAATGTGCGGTGAAAGTTACAAGTGTCTTGGGGGAAAATTACAAAATGGTGTGAAAAATTTCAAATGTGCTGGTGAAAGTTACAAGTGTGCTGGTGAAAGTTACAAGTGTGCTGGTGAAAGTTACAAGTGTGCTGGTGAAAGTTACAAGTGTGCTGGTGAAAGTTACAAGTGTGCTGGTGAAAGTTACAAGTGTGTGGTGAAATTACAATTGCTGGTGAGTCATTAACAAATCTGTGGATTTAAAAAAGATTTTGGAGATAAAAAACCGGGCAGGTGGAGGTGTTGATTTTGGGGGCAGGGGGAGGTGTTAGATATGGAGGGGCAGGTGGAGGGTTAGATACTGGAGGGGCAGGTGGGGTGTTGATATGGAGGGGGGGTGGAGGTGTTAATATGGGGGCAGGTGGAGGTGTTAGATACTGGGGGGCAGGTGGAGGGGTTAGATACTGGAGGGGCAGGTGGAGGTGTTTTATGGAGGTGAGGGAGGGGTTAGGTACTGGAGGGGCAGGTGGAGGTGTTAGGTACGGAGGGGCAGTGGAGGTGTTGTATGGAGGGGCAGGGGGAGGTGTTAGATACTGGAGGGGCAGGGGGAGGTGTTAGTACTGAGGGGAGGTGGGGGGTGTTAGAACTGGAGGGGCAGGTGGAGGTGTTAGTACTGGGGGGGGCAGGTGGAGGTTTAGATACTGGAGGGGCAGGTGGAGGTGTTAGGTATGGAGGGGCAGGGGGAGGTGTTAGGTACTGGGGGGCAGGGGAGGGGTTAGGTACTGGGGGGGCAGGTGGAGGTGTTAGGTACTGGGAGGGGAGGTGGAGGTGTTAGGTACTGAGGGGAGGGGGAGGGGGTTTTGGTACTGGAGGGCAGGGGAGGTGTTAGATACTGGAGGGGCAGGTGGAGGTGTTAGATACTGGAGGGGCAGGTGGAGGTGTTAGATACTGGAGGGGCAGGTGGAGGTGTTAGATACTGGAGGGGCAGGTGGAGGTGTTAGATACTGGAGGGGCAGGGGGAGGGGTTGATCTGGGGTGCGGTGGAGGTGTTAGATACTGGAGGGGGAGGTGGAGGTGTTAGATATGGGGGTGCGGGGGGGGTGTTGATTGGAGGGCAGGTGGAGGGTTAGATACTGGGGGGGCAGGGGGAGGTTTAGATATGGAGGGGAGGTGGAGGGTTTTGATACTGGAGGGGGAGGGGGAGGTGTTAGATACGGAGGTGCAGGGGGAGGTTTAGATACTGGGGGGGCAGGTGGAGGGGTTGATATGGAAGTGCAGGGGGAGGTGTTAGATACTGGAGGGGGGAGGTGGAGGTGTTAGATACTGGGGGGCAGGGGGAGGGGTTAGAACTGGAGGGCAGGGGAGGTGTTAGATACTGGGGGGGGAGGGGGAGGTTTAGATACTGGAGGGGCAGGTGGAGGGTAGATACTGGGGGGGGGGTGGGGGGTGTTTGATATGGAGGGGCAGGTGGAGGTGTTGATACTGGGGGGCAGGTGGAGGGTTAGGTACTGGAGGGGCAGGGGGGAGGTGTTAGGTACTGGGGGGGAGGTGGAGGGGTTAGGTATGGAGGGGCAGGGGGAGGTGTTAGGTACTGGGGGGAGGTGGAGGGGTTGGTACTGGAGGGGCAGGTGGGGGTGTTAGGTACTGGAGGGGCAGGGGGAGGGTTAGATAGGGGGGGCAGGTGGAGGTGTTTGTACTGGGGGGCAGGTGGAGGTGTTAGATACTGGAGGGGCGGTGGAGGTGTTAGATACGGAGGGGGGGTGGAGGGTTAATACTGGAGGGGAGGTGGGGTGTTAGATACTGGAGGTGCAGGTGGAGGTGTTAGATACTGGAGGGGCAGGTGGAGGTGTTAGATACTGGAGGTGCAGGTGGAGGTGTTAGATACTGGAGGGGCAGGTGGAGGTGTTAGATACTGGAGGGGCAGGTGGAGGTGTTAGATACGGGGGGCGGTGGGGTGTTTGTATGGAGGGGCAGGGTGGGGTGTTGATATGGAGGGCAGGTGGAGGTGTTTGATACTGGGGGGGAGGTGGAGGTGTTTGATATGGGGTGAGGGGAGGGGTTAGATTTGGAGGGGCAGGTGGAGGTGTTAGATATGGAGGGCAGGTGGAGGTGTTAGTACTGGAGGGGCAGGGGGGGTGTTAGATACTGGGGGGGGGAGGTGGAGGTGTTAGATACTGGAGGGGGGAGGGGGGGTGTTAGATCTGGAGGGGCAGGGGGAGGTGTTAGATATGGAGGTGCAGGTGGAGGGTTAGAACTGGAGGGGAAGGGGGAGGTTTTGATACGGGGGGAGGTGGAGGTGTTTGTACTGGAGGTGCAGGTGGAGGTGTTGTACTGGGGGCAGGTGGAGGTGTTAGATAGGGGGGCGGTGGAGGTGTTAGATACTGGAGGGGGAGGTGGAGGGGTTAGGTACTGGAGGGGGAGGGGGAGGTGTTAGAACTGGAGGTGCGGTGGAGGTGTTAGATACTGGGGGGAGGGGGAGGTGTTTGATATGGAGGGAGGGGGAGGTGTTAATATGGGGGGGCAGGTGGAGGTGTTAGGGTTGAGGAGCGGTGGAGGGGGTTTGAACGGGGGTGCGGGGTGGAGGTGTTATATGGAGGGGCAGGTGGAGGGGTTAGATACTGGAGGGGCAGGTGGAGGGTTTTAGTCGGAGGGCAGGGGAGGTGTTAATAGGAGGGGGAGGTGGGGGTGTTAGATACTGGAAGGGCAGGTGGGGGTGTTTGAACTGGAGGTGCAGGGGAAAGGGGTTTAGATATGGAGGTCAGGGGGAGGTTAGATACTGGGGTGCAGGGGAGGGGTTGATATGGAGGTGCAGGGGGAGGTGTTAGATACTGGGGGTGCAGGGGAGGTGTTAGTATGGGGGGGCAGGTGGAGGTTTAGATACTGGAGGGCAGGTGGGGGTTTAGATACTGGAGGGAGGTGGGTGTTAGATATGGAGGGGCAGGGGGGAGGTGTTAGATACTGGAGGGCAGGTGGGGGTGTTAGGTAATGGAGGGGGAGGTGGAGGGTTAGGGATGGAGGGGCAGGTGGATTGTTAGATCTGGAGGGGCAGGTGGAGGTGTTTGATACTGGAGGGGCAGGTGGAGGTGTTTTGATACTGGGGGGGGCAGGTGGGAAAGGGGTTGGTACTGGAGGGGGAGGTGGAGGTGTTAGTATGGGGGGGCAGGTGGAGGGGTTAGGTACTGGAGGGGGAGGTGGAGGTGTTAAAAACTGGAGGGGAGGTGGAGGTGTTTTGTACTGGAGGGGCAGGTGGAGGTGTTTGGGACTGGAGGGGGAGGTGGAGGTGTTAGATATGGAGGTGCAGGTGGAGGTTTAGATACGGGGGGAGGTGGAGGTGTTAGATACGGAGGGGAGGTGGAGGTGTTAGTACTGGAGGGGCGGTGGAGGGGTTAGGTACTGGAGGGGCAGGTGGAGGGGTTAGGTACTGAGGGGCAGGTGGAGGTGTTGGGACTGGAGGGGCAGGGGGGGTGTTAAAACTGGGGGGCAGGTGAGGGGTTAGGTACTGGGGGGCAGGTGGAGGGGTTGGTACTGGAGGGGCAAGGGGGAGGTTTAGATACGGGGGGGCGGTGGAGGTGTTAGTACTGGAGGGCAGGGGAGGTGTTTTGATACTGGGGGGCAGGTGGGGTGTTAGGGCGGAGGGGCAGGGGAGGGGTTTTGGTACGGAGGGGCAGGTGGAGGGGTTAGATATGGAGGGGCAGGTGGAGGTGTTAGGTACTGGGGGCGGTGGAGGGTTAGATATGGAGGGCAGGGGAGGTTAGGTATGGAGGGGGGTGGAGGTGTTGATAGGAGGGGCAGGTGGAGGGTTAGAAATACTGGAGGTGCAGGTGGGGGTGTTAGATACTGGGGGGGCAGGTGGAGGTGTTAGGGCTGAGGGGGCAGTGGAGGTGTTTTGATACTGGAGGGGAGGTGGAGGTTTAGG